TATTCTATTCTATTCTATTCTATTCTATTCTATTCTATTCTATTCTATTCTATTCTATTCTATTCTATTATAAAGGGTTATAAAATAAAACTTGTAGTGGTGGAACCATCATGGAAGAGAACTATTTCAAGACTGCAGTTATCACCCTGACTCTGACCATTTCCTTTTCTCAGAACTGAGATCACTCAAAGAGCGATCTGCTCTTCCACAGGCCACTTAAAATATCTGAACTAACCCTTCAAGTACGGCTGCACCTGACCAGAACGATATCTTCAATTCGTAYTAAAATCACAATCAAATTAGCTAAAATAAAATGCAATGATGCCGTAAATATATCAGAAGCAGCAGATGTTAATGGTAAATATTTGATTCTGTAAATGATGGGTGCTCAGATGTTTGCAGACGTTTCTATCCTCAGCCTGTGTAACGTTGCATGGYTATGTTTCTCTGCAGGCGTCGTGGCGGTGCTGTTCTGTGGCATCACACAGGCTCACTACACCTACAACAACCTGTCTGCGGAGTCCACGAAGCGCACCAAGCAGGTATGGTCTGAACCTTCTCCCCTCATGCTGCTCCGYTGGCTCTGAACCCCCAGATAATCTGAGCAGGGTGCTGGTGCCAGATGGCGCTGCGCTCAGCCTGCTGTGACCTTAATAAGGGCTGTTGGAGGACATGAGTCTTCAGTTTCCCACAGGGGTGTTCAGTCTGCAGACTGCAGATTAGCATGTAGACATTTAGCATGGCACATTTAGGATCAATATTCAGCTGCAGAATCTTATTTCTAATGCAATACCAAGGTATATGCTAATTTTAACAATGCATCTTGGCTAATAATCTTATATGGTTGAAAGGCCCGTTTATTTCCACTTAAATGAAACATTAGTCAGGAAAATGCATCTGTGTTAGGCAGGAGAGGTCTGTGGCTTGTGCTCATAACAGCTTATTCTGCTGTGGTATCTTGTTTTGTTGTGTTTATTTTATTGGTTGATTGAAGCTTAAAGAAAAAAAACTTATTGACAATTTAACAGTTCATTCATTTAACAAACATGCATGCGGAAGAACCATACACAGCCACAAAGCCTGGCACCTCCTCCATACATACTGCTGTGGATGCAGTCCCTTTTTAACCATTATTTGTTGCAAGTCAGCCAACATGAAACAAACAGCTGATTCCACAGGATGAGGTCAGTGTAGAGGGGGAAAAACATTCTCATTATTTGTTTTTTTGTGTTCTCATCACTAAGAAGAAGTGTTATACACTGAAACATACGTTCTGACCTGACCTAAAGTATTGTGATAATTTTATGAAGAGTTTGTTTACAGAAATCCCAGAGCGACTCTGACTCTGTTCAAGGTCATCGGCCTGCAGAGTTGGTGTGTTTTGATTCTGATAATGTGAGACTGTGTGAAACCACTGTTTYCCTTTTCATCCACAGAACAGCTGAAACTTTAAACAGGCAGGACAAGAAGTTGCAATGCTAGATTTTCTGAGATTTTGGCTGTTCTCCATACTTGACGGCAAAATGTT